GGTATTTAAGTGTCTAAATCCTGCTGAGGTGCCTGAACTCTACACACTAAAATCAGTTTAAATCAATGAAAGTTTAAGTGCCAAAATAGGGATTAGATGACTACACATCTTTCTGTATCTGGCCCATAGTTCTTTCAGGCCTCCAAGCCTACTAGTTGAGTTTTAATGGGAAAATAAAATACCAAGAAAACCTGGACTTATATTTGTACTTCCAAGGTACAACAAATATGTGTTAGCATAATGCGCAGTGTTGTGAAAGACATGGGAACATTGAATAGTTTTAAATAGATATTTTTACCCTGTCCTTGTTGTTCTTTTTGAGATACTTTCCATCTTAAGTACTGCAAAGACAAATCTTTTCAAGTGGCTCTGCAAGTATCTGAACAAGGATGGTGGTGTGGGCAACAACTGATTTAGAGGGAACTGCAGTGTTTGAATAAGACAGAATAAACTACTACATCTGATTACTGTGTTCAGGTTTCATGGACACAATACCATGTGACTGCACTCTGCCCTCCTCCTCCAACTGCAGGAAGCTTGTGCTTCTTACTCAGACTACTCAATCCCTTGCTGTCCCCAACTACTATCAAGTGTTTACCTCTTAATTGCCACTCAGGGTTGCTTCCCTCCCCACAGGTTTTGAAATAACACTTCCTCATCATCCTCTTCTCTGGCCAGTCCCAAACCTCCGTCTCACTCCTCCTGTGTTCTCCCCACTTCACACTCTGCTCCAGACTTCCTTTTCCCCCTGGTTGCAGGCTCCCTCCAAGTAGTGGATTAAGATTTATTGAGGCCCTGGGCAAACAGACAATTGGAGGCCTCCCAACAGGCAAGGGCAGATTTCCTCTACACCTGCCAGGAGACTGCAGCTGGCCCTTCCTGGCCTCCTCAGCAGAGCCAAGGCGAGTCAGGGGGTGCAAGCAATGCTGAGGTGAAGGCAGCCCCAGCCCCAGTGCGGCCCAGCACCTCCTCCTAGCAGCTGTCACACAGCTGGGGCTGTGGTCCCCCAACGCTGTGGGCCAGGACAGGGCTGGGGCCAGCCTGGGGTGGGGCATGGGCTCCATGCCACCCCCAGATGCCCACGCACCCCTGTGCCAGCCCTGATGGGACATGCATGGAGCCCTGCATCCACCCCTTAGCCTCTGGCCCTGGCCCTGGCCCTGGCCCTGGCCCAGCTGGAGGGGAGGAGGCTCACGTTCCCAAGCCAGATGCCTGGAGCCAGGATGCCTGCCTAGACTGTGCTGCTCCTGGGCCCCATGTATTAATCTTCCCCTGCTCCCTCCTAATACTGACAATTTCTCACCTATCAGACAAAGTTTTAGCAACTTATTTCCTGTGTGGCAGACTTACTGATGCAGCCTGGCTCAAATGGACTCAGAAAATCGTCTTTTCAATTGGTGGAGCCCATCCACCAATCAGGTAAGGGCTGGGTGGGGCCGGCCCTGCCCATCACACGGAGGGGGAGGCAGAAAGTTTCACGGACCTGATTAAAGACTGCCTTCTGCAGGTCTGGCAAGCCTTCGGAAGTGGAAGCTCCAGAGTGAATAAAAGGAGCTGCGGGTTCTGGGATACTCACTGCACATAGCAGTACATTGGGACACCAGACCCTGGGAGCCACAGGTGGTGGCTTGGAACTGCTACCCTTGGCATGTGGCCAAGGACTCAGTGCACATGGCAGTGCACAGCATCCCAAACCCTGGGGTAGTGTCAGGCCACTCAGGTTTGCAACACCCTCCCTGGCATGAGGCTGGGCACCCGGGAAGCACCAGTGGGGTGCGGTGGAGGTCCAGTGTTCTAGGTTTTGGGACCTGCTCAATGTGGCTCAAGCCCCAACAGAAGGCAGAAGGCAAGGCCTGGGCATCAGGACCTTCATGGCACCTGCAGCTTCAAGAACCACCCCCCCCACCTCAAGCCTGCTCCCCAGATCTGTGAGTACCCAGGAAATTGCTTCCCACAGGGGAGGAGGCCAGGAAAGGGGGGAAGTCCTGCAGGATCAGGGACCAGGTGGGCCCACCTGAGGCTGAGGAAGTACTGGGACCCTCCTCCCCCTAGAAGGATGCCATGGTTTGGCACCCTAGGGGAACACCCGATAGTCTTGGCCACAAGAGTACCTGGAAGGGGAGAAAAACTTGCACCTCCCATTTTGTAGACTGTTGTTTTTCAATGTGGCCTGGGTTGTCAGCAAGTTGAGGTTTATCTGTATCTAATTGTTGTTATTGTTCTTGCCTGAACCCATCTGTAGATTCCTGTGTTTATTTGCCTAGCTATTATTTACTTGTTGTTGTACATATTTATCTATATTTTCTTATAAATCTGTAAATATCTATATCATTTGTATATTAATAGCTATCTTTTTAAGGTTTTCTGTAAACATTAATACATCTGTATATAGTTAAGCTATTCCTGGTCCTGGCCCCTCTCTACAGGGAATAGAGGGAACTGGCCAGTATTTTACAGATCCCACTCACATCACAGCACTTCTACTGAGCTACCTATCTCTTCTATTGGGAAGGGGAAGCACATAGTAGGGTGCACCCAGGTGACACCTGCCTGCTCTGTCTCATGCCCACCTATTCCACAATCTCAAATCTAGTCCTGTCCCTGGGACTTTCATTCTGCCTACCCTTACTTGGTAGTACCCACCTGCCCTCTCCTACTGACTCCATTTACCATCTACTTCCCCTTTCCTAGTCATTATGCAGGCAACAGTAGATGTCCTCAACCAGACCTTCTGCTCTTCCTTCCTTTCAGGGTAAGGAGAATGACAAGTTTCCATTACTGTTCTGGTCATTCTCCCTTCTGTTTTGTGTTTGATTTGGTTTAAGTACCAGAACAGAAAGGATGCGGACAAACTGGACAGAGTCCAGGGGAAGGCAATGAAAATCGTTAGGGGTCTGGGGCACATGACTTTTGAGGAGAGGCTGAGGGAACTGGACTTACTTAGTCTGGAGAAGAGAAGATTGAGGGGAGATCTAATATCAGCCTTCAACTGCCTAAAGTGTGGTTCCAAAGAGGATGGAGCTAGACTGTTGTCGGTGGTGGCAGATGACAGAACAAGGAGCAATGGTCTCAAGCTGCAGCAAGGGAAGTTTAGGTTAGATAGTAGGAAAAACTTTCTTATGAGCAGGGTAGTAAAACACTGAAGCAGGTTACCCAGAGAGGTTGTAGAATCTCCATCCTTGGAAGTTTTTAAGACCCAGCTAAACAAAGCCTTGGCTGGGATGATCTAGCTGGGAATGGTCCAGCTTTGAGCAGGGGGTTGGACTAGATGACCTTCTGAGGTCCCTTCCAACCCTAATTTTCTATGATACCTAGAACACTTAGCAATGTATGTGTGGACACTGCTGTCCAGAGATAATTGTGGACCTGTCCTTCATTAGTGACAGTCTCCTAAGAGGCAGGTACCTAGTAGCCTAGTTCTCTCAAGGTTTAGGTGGTTTTGGACATGCCTAGTAGCAAAGCTTTAGCTAAAGGATTTAATACTGGAAACTTAAGGTGCAGTTACATGTTACACTTAAAACAAACTCAAGTTTGTGGAATGGTAACTGGTGTTAAAGTTAGATTTGTGCTGTGAGCAGTTGTATGTTAAGGGTTAATACAGGCAACCCCTGCTTAACACTGTTTTGCTTGGTGCTATTTCACTATAATGCTCATTTTAAATTGATACCTGATTCCACTTAGAGCTCAGCGAGTTTGATTATAACCAAGGATCCTGGTTTTCTCTGATTAAAAAAAAAAAAATCCCAATTTTCAGTTTAAAAAAATGTAATCCCAAATCCACATTTTTTTCCCATGATTTAAATGAAACACTAATATAAATCTATATATAGTGGTGTTTGATTTTAATCATGGAAAACAATATGGATCTGGGGTTACATTTTAACTGAAAACTGGGGATTCTTTTAAATCAGAGAAAACCAGGATCTCCAGTTATAACACTTGCGATCGCCATCTTGGGTCATCAAAATCTTTCCATTTAGCTTAACGCTCGTTTAGTTTAACTCTTGGTTTTTCAGGAACCAATTAAGAGCATTAAGTGGGGGTTGCCTGTACTGTTTCTTGCCTGCACAGCTCAGACTTGCCATTAGAGGGGTGTCAATCATGACTAGAAGCTAAGACAATCTAAGCTCTATCCCTGTTCGGGGGGGGGCAGAGGGGCTGCAGTGCTTCCTGTGATGCCGGAGGACTGCAAATTGCTTATTTTATCTCTGTGGAGCAGACTGAAGTTATCCTAACATAAGCTAGATAGCATGGCCCAGTTAACCCTCAACCTGAAGTGGAATAACTCTGAAATGCTCAGAGGGATTTAAAACAAGTTAACAAATTTCAATGTGCAGACACTCACATTTTAAGTGTCCTGGGTATGGTCTAAGTGTAACTTGTAACTTTACCCTTACGCACTTCTTGAATCAGGTGGCAAGGTTTGATAATCAAAATTTTGAATGGAGGAACAAAGGACCATTGCTGCATAAAACTTGCTGTAAACATAGACCTTCTTCTTCTTTCCTATCTTGGTTGCAGTCAGGTTCCCCAGATCCTGCCCAGCCTATATATGAACTATAGTATACATTAGCTAATAAAAACATTAGTAATATCTTGCAAGCAGCAAAATTAAAGACCTGACTGTCAACAAGCTGTTTAGTAGAACAACTTATTATTCACAAAATACTTTTTAATAGTTTGACCTAATTTATTCAGACAGTTTCTTAGTGAAATTCAGGAAATAAGTTTTAGTTCCAAAATTCTTCATTTCCAATACTTCTCACTCTAAAAACAGTCCGGCACCAAATTTAGAGAAATCTTGTAGATAGCAACCTATTTTTCACAAGTGCTGGGAAATTTTTTATCCCTTCAGCACCCTGCTGAGTTGCAAATATTCCCAGGGGGTTAGTAAACTCTCAGCTACTGCTCCAATGTATAGAAATTAAACCTTCCATCATCTGGTTTTTATATTTGGAAAATGTCAACTATACTTCCTATCACATATATTGTTGCTTCAATGCACTGAGCCTTCTGTGAATTTTAAAACATATAACTCAGCTCTCAAGCATTTCTTTTGTAAATATTGATAATGGTTTCAAGTTCTTTATTAAATAACTTTTTAATGAGGTTGAGGACAAAGAACTATTTTTTCACAGTCTCATGAAGATAAGAATCATAACATATCCTTCTGTACCATGGAACACATGCTTCTCAATACCTCATTGTGCAGTGGAGGTTTTCCCACTTTTTAAAAGTTTACTTTGACGAAAAATGCAATTAGAAGTAGTAAAATTTAAAGTAGGTTCCAGTGAAATTTCTGAAATTGCTTGCAACTCTGACAGCCATGCACACTGGTGTATTAGGATAGAAGTATCAGAAAGCTCCCTTACATGTTTGATCAGAAAAGAGCCCTACAACTACCTTTTAATAATACACAGGCTATGTTATCTAAGCAATATTTATTATCTATATCTTCAGCAGAATGCATATCTATACACTAAGAACCATAGACAATAAAATATTATGGAGGAGTTCACTAGGGGATGTTTCTTGGGAGAGGTTTTTAATCAGTTTACAGGAATGGTCAAAGGACTGAACAGGAGTTTCCTTTTCTGTGCAGGCTGTAAACAGCTTATGATAGGTAGCCAATGGGAAGTTTTTAGTGTGGCTTAGAAAATATTAACTTGTAGGAGTTCTGACCTCTGTCTCCAAGATGGGGCTCAGAGGGCTAATGTTTACTAGGAGGTATCTGGCTCTCTAGGAAACTGCAAAATTTCAATGGAAGTTATTTCCCTTTTACAGATTTCAATAATGAGTCTGAATATGTAGCCATACATTAAAACAAATATTCTATACAACTCATTTTCTCTATTATACATAAGTGTTTATCTTTTGAACTGGAAAATGTTGCCTCAGGCATGAAATATTCCAGCCAGCTGCACTTTGCTGAAATACGCTGTAGATTCTGTAGCTTGCTTTTCCATTCAACACTTAAAAGCATTTGAATATGCTAAGCTGAATTAAAAGCCAACTAGGAGCATATTATTAGTCCCCTGGTATCAACCATTTTTCTCACATATTCCATAGAAGCCTTTCAGTGCTAATAATAATATTTCCCTATACTAGTTTTATTGACAGCTTGAAACATTAATGAAGATCCATTTGAAACGTAAATGGTCAGTCTTCCGTGCACATTTATTTATAGGATCCATGCACTGAGTCTTTAAGCTGTGATGGTAAATGGAAGCCTAGATACATACAAGAAGCTTGAATTTATGTATTCTTTAAGGGCAAGAGTGTGACTTTCTCACTGCCCTGAGCTGCGCTGCCACAGGAAGAGCCCCAGAGGCATCCTGACAGAGACACTCTGACCTGTAGCTCCTTCATTGCTTCTTCCCTGCTTCTAGCCAAGGACAGCAGTAAGTAATCTGTGCTTGACCACTACTTGTTCAGCTGTGCCTTCCTGGAATAGAGGGTGAAGGTAAAACCCCACAGACCTCTTTTGTGGGGGACAGGGAGTGGGGTGAAACAAGCCAGAAAGAAACCTCTGCTTATGCCTATGTGCCTTAACTCAAGATCCTGATAGGCCATGCAGAGACTAAAGGGAAGTCCACGCACCTTTTCACCTCCTTATTCATACAGTTGGCCTCATTCAAGTAACCAGGGCTGTTTGTAGAAGGATTGCTGTTGGGGTCTGAAGTCCTCAAGTGTGACGTTTTTTTGGAGGCAGCTTCCTGTTGCAGAATAACATCTTGTAAGAAAGAAAGAATTTTGTATTACATAAAAATGAAGTGCAATCCCATTGTTTTGTTTCTTCAGCCTGAAGGACATCTCTCTTAAGTGAGTGTGAAAGAAGGCCCCTTAGGGATGGAAAGGAGCTTCTGTGGATGAGATGGGTAACTGGCTGAGTTCTTGTTGAACTGATTACTTTAATGCTACTGAGATTTGTTTGTGGCATTAAAAATATTTTGGTAGCTAGAGCCTTAGATAAGCATTATTTTGGTCTTTCATTTAAATATAAATATGTAATTTTTACTGAGCTGCGTGTTAAAAGAAACAACCAAGCTTCCACCTTTGTCATTCTGCCAACAAATGAGAAATGTCCCAGGTGAGCACCTGCAACTCTCATTAAAGTCCCTCTAACATGGCCTCCACCCAACAGTCTGCTTGCCACTCCTAAAAACCTTCTTATGATAGCCTTTCATTTTCCCACTGGATTTATTGCCTCAGAACATAGATTACTTGTCTTGCTATCTAGGATTTCCTTTCTTTTGAACAGAAACATAAAAACACAAAGAACATATAAATGCAAATAATGTGAAAATATTGTGTTTGATTCAAACCCATATGGTCCAAGTTACAGCTAAATGTCTGACCTTTACTTAGATTTGAAATGTGATACCTTGGCTGTGCAGATGATCATATTACATGGGAAAAGTTTGGAAGCTCTTGGAAAAACACTGGAATATTTTTGGCTTTTGCCACACACTTAATACTATGTTTTTTTAATGTACTGATTTAGTGGATATTAATACTCAGCAATTCTGTGTGTTAAGATCCAGTATTTATTAAACTTACACTATTGATGATGATGATAATGCATACACTAAAAAATGTACTGTGCACTTAAGAGATAGTAAGTATGTGGAAGACAAGATGCTGCCCTTACTCTCTAAGAATTTGATTCTGCTCCTCCAGATGTTAGAGGAACTTTGCTTTGAATTTTGGAGGTGTCCTAAATATACATCTCTTATGATATGATTTGTAGAGTATACATATTTGCAAATTTTCAGTGATTTGAAATTGTCTCACATAAGTCCCTTGTAAAACCGTACAAAGCAATAAAATTTAATACATACATATACTTACTACATTAAAATGAATGGTTCCATTTCCAGATCACCTACCAACAGTGTGCTTAAGTGAAATTAGATCTCATGCAAGGTGAGTGACAGCAAACTGCTTCTTTAGCCACTGAACAAATACAACAAAGACAGCAGCAGCAGTTAAAATTTCAAACACTTAATCATAAATGCAATGTATGTGTCACAGTGCTGACCTGAAAGGCCCATTACTAGGGCTGAAGGGAACATTCTTTCTCCATGTTTGCTGAATCCCTGTCTTTTCTGGTGAGGATGACCACAAGTATGCTAAGTAAAAGCTAGTTTTGTGATGTGAATACTTGCTCTATAGGACATGCTTAGTAGCTCTGTAAGGAAGGCCCCCAAAGCAAATGATTTTTCCCTCCTTCTTTCATTGTAGAAGCCAGCAGAGTTTGGACTTCCACTTGCATCACAGCTAACCAAATTCAAATCAAAGAGGTGTCACAGGATGACAAACATATTTCACTCAGTCTTTTTATTCTCAATCATTCATTTGCTAGTTATCAGTTATATAGCCTCCTCCTCAGTGCTCCATTGAGTCACACACACAGACTCCTACAAGTGGTAAAATGTGTTAGTCAAGTCCAGGTACACAGCGTCAAAAATCACACCCAAACTTGTCCAGCAAGTCAATGCTTTATTTGTACTTGTATCTAATTTGCATTCCAGTTAAGTTTTTGAAGGCTCTGGCATTCCAGTATCTGAGTAAAGACACTTCTCCTGTAACAGTGAACAGAACAGAGGTGACAAAGTACTGTTGAGACTAAGGCTGTCAATTAATCACTATTATCGTGCACAATTAAACGCAAGAACCAACTGACATGTTTATTCTTTTAATGTTGTGACAGGGGCACATCTTGGGGCTCACTCTCACGTCAGCCCACCCACCAGTCTATGTAGGACAGTCTGCTCAGTCTTGCCTGCCATGACTATGCTGTTTCATAAACAGGTGAAAAATGGGGGAGGCTGCCCATTTTAATGCCCTGATCCTGGGGGGCACTGTCCACAGCTCCATACTGCCCCTACACAATGGCCCTTGCCTCACAGATGGCATCCAAAACAAGTTCTTAACCTTTGACCCAAAGCTGGCTTCACTATGTTTGAAGGCTTACTGGGGTCTTGGCCTCTGGCGAAGTTGCAACCTCAGGTGTCCATAGATTTACCGTGGCCTATCTGCCTCCTCCCTGGGGCTTCAACTTATGCCCTCCTTCTAGGGCCATCTACCTATACCCTCTCACTAGGGCCTTCCAGTTTATTATTACACATCCAGCTTAAGGCCAAGCCAAACTCAGTCTTGTGCTGGGCCTTTCACTGGGCTGACTGTGTACCACCCCCTTCTCACTGGAACCTCTTGTGAAGTGCCGAGCCTTCGTTTTCTCTATTCGGTCCGACCCGGGTGGACCCCTCTTGCTAGAGGGCGCTCTCACCTCCCGTGGTGCACCCGCTGAACTTGCCTGCCACGACTTTGATGTTATTCCGGTTCAGTATTATTCGTCTGGCGCGTGCACGTCCGGAAGTGAGACTCTGCGTATGTGGGTCCCCGGGGTCGCAGAGGGCTCCTCCACCCCTACACCCTTGCCCTGGCCTCCGGATTGTGGGGTCCCCCCTGGCCTCAATCGTACTCAGAGCAATTAATCCCTCTTCCCGCGGGATTCAGCTCGCCCAGTTGCCTCACTGGGCTGCCGTACTTTCTCCGGCGGAGTTCTGTTCTCGGGGCTCCTACGAGCCTAATTCCCCGCGGGGTGTCCCTCTTCCCCTGGGACTTCGGGAGAAGGACAAGTCTTCCCCCAGTAGGGTTGTCGTCCGCTCACCAGATGGGTGAGCTGTTCCCTCCTCATACCAGCTGCTCTGCCCCACGGTCTCCCCCGGCTTCAGAGGGGAACTGCTGGGCTGGGTCTTCCGCTGCCCCCGGCTCCGACCCGGTCCACTGCCGGGGTCTTACCCGTGCCCCAGAACGTGCGGGTCCGGTGCTGAGCAGATCGCCTCTGCCTGCTTCCGGTTCTGCCACCGCGCCCGTCTCGTGGACCGCCGGCCCTTTTAACGCTGTCTCTCAGCGATCCCAGCTGCAATCAATCAGTGAGTGCCCTGTCTCACCGGGAAAGGGCGGGTCCGACACAGCGGCTATCCCGCCGCTGCTTTCCCCGGGGTTCCTGGATTCTCGCGCTCCCGCACACCGCTAACACTCCACCCTCTCTCACCAGGCCTCTTTCATACTGCCCTACCTAGGGCCACTCTCAACCTGCCATTGCTTCCTCAGTGACCGCCCCCCCCCGGCCATTGGGCTTAACTACTCTCATTCCGACCAGTACACAGATAGCCCTTTGGGTCACTTGAGCTTCCCTACTCTACATGGCACTGGCCTTGTACCTTACAGTGGGTTGACTCTGCCCCTAGCCCCTTGCTGGGCCTTTCAGTCCCCCTTTCCAGGGGCCACTGGGGTCTTGGGCCCCGCTGTGGGACTCAGGTGTCACACTGACTTACCCAGCCCCTTCCAGTCCCCTTGCTGGAGCCACAATACTGCCCCAGTCTCTGGGGCCAACCAGGGTCTTACCCTCCCACGAGGCTCACATGTCACATAGACATACCTGGCCCCTTCCTGTCCCCTCACTGGGACTACTCTAACTATCTGCCCCCTTACTGGGGCTTCTGGGGTCTTACACGCCATAGGGCTTATGTGTCCAGAGACATACCTGGTCCCCATGCCTGTCCCCAGGTCTGGGTATCCCACCAGGGTGTGGGGGCTGGGGTTTTAAGGCACCCGTCCCCACCTTTTGCAGAAGAGGCAACTGGCCTGGCATTTCCAGGGAGCTCCCCAACCATGGGCAGCCCCACCAACCCATCCTTCCCCAATAGGGTGCAGTTTCACGTCATACCCAGGACAAGGAGGCTCCTGCCATCCCCATAGCTCCTGCCCTTACCTCCCAGGATGTTCTGAGCATCAGCTCAGCTGGATGTTGTTGTTCTGGCTGCTGCCCAACCCTGTGGGCCTGGATCTAAAATGGCTGCCTCATCAGGGCTGGCCCACACCTGTTAGCTGCCTGCTCAGTCTTAAAGTGGCAGACACCAAAGGTGCTCTAGTACCCACCTTCCCCCTTAAAATGGCTATCAGGCAGGGGTCTCCCTGCTGCTCACCATGCAGGCTTATCTGTCACCTGCAACAGCCCATTAAGTAGCAAGCACCCCGATGGTGATCTGCCAAAAACGTGCTAATTGCACACATGGTTTTGGAGCCCCCATGCCCGGGCTCCTCTCCACTGCCATCACCCCCACCTCCGGGCTGCACAGCGGGGCAGTGGTGGCAGTGCAGAGGAGCTGCAGGGGAGCCCCAGTGATCAATTTTTTAAATTGTTTGACAGCCCTAGTTGAGACACAATGAGATGGTGATAGGAGGGAGAGTTCTCTCTTGAATGTTCATACATAAACAGGGATATACCTAAGTCTCACTGAGGTGAAACAAAAATCACGGGCCATCCACTGCACAATAGCATTTTTGCTGCCTCTTCACGTCCGCTCCCCCTGCCACTAATTGACCAAGA